GTGAGAACTCCAGACTCACTCTCTTGTACTGTTAGAGGACATGTAACCATGGCAACTTGTCTACAAGACTGTAACCATGACAACTCCTCTAAAAGACTGGTACCACGCCACCCCCTAAATGACTGTAACCATGACAACGCAAACATTTCACGCCAGTAAACCCGCCTGCAACATCACCAACACTAAAAACTCACCCGAACTCACCTGACCACCACCTAACATCCCCACCCTGGCCGCCAGACCCAGGATGTCCAGCTACTGACCCTCCACCTAACATCCCCACCCTGGTCGCCACACCCAGGATGTCCAACTACTGACCCTCCACCGTCTAGCAGCGACTCATCTCGCCAGCCCGTACAGTTAACTACCGCTAGCCTTAACACACACGGGACGGCGTGGTCGAATTGTAGAGCGTTTGGATGCTGGCCTAAAATTCTCGGGTTCGAGACCTCGGTTCGGTCTTGTGACTGTAGAATGTCCCTGAGCCCACCCAGCCCTGATAAGTACCCAACTTGTGTTGGGGAAAGTAAAGACGATCGACCATAGTGCTGACCACATTATATCTTTATAAGCCAATGTCAAGAAACATATGAACTCTACTTCCTCTGCCCAATGGATCTCTAGGTTTATAAGGAACATTACTATCCCTGATAGTATTTTAGATGATTAATTAAATTTTCTAAAGGAAATTCCTGAATTCTAGACGCGAGAAAACCTTTACAGTACATGTTTGTAATAACTGTCCAACAACGTTAGGAGGTGAGCATTTACGTATGAAGGTGCACCTCACGATGTTGCACATGCATGCAGATTCATGTTTCACATCGCGAGCGGAAAAATCCTGGAAACATCCAGACTTGCCACTATGCCAGAACAAACTTCGGACACGTTGCCAAATATTTAAAAATTGCCAACATGATTCACGTTCCTTGTTTATTAATACTTTAATCATCGGAAGCGAATGTGTTAAGTGGCTTCAGCTATCTGCTTTGAAATAATTGTAAAGGTTTCAATCTATCGTCAATAAAAAATAGTTTAACCCAACAGGATGTAGGGCGTTTTGACACTAAACAAATGAATGCTGTTGATTAAAAGATATGAGTCATATCACAAACCGAAAATAAACAAATATTTTGAGAAGAGAAAAGTAGATGAGTGTTTAAGTGGGCCTTTATGACACACACGTGGGGCTCAGTGTGTGTGTGTGGGAGGGGGGGGGGGTAGGGGGGTCTGAGGACAAATAAAACAATGGCCAGTCATTAATGAGAGTTGATTTAATTTACCGTTGCTGTTTCTTTGAATCCCCAGCTATAGCTAAATTATGGGATCACATAGTTGGGAAAAAAAAGTCGCGGATATATTTTGAAGACCTAATAGGCAAAAGTTCGATATCAAGGGTCTTCATACGCTTTCATTAGCCTTAATGCCTGACTCTTTCATTAGCCCAACTGTCTGACTCTTTCATTAGCCCAATGTCTGACTCTTTCATTAGCCCAATGTCTGACTCTTTCATTAGCCCAATGCCTGAATCTTTCATTAGCCCTCATAGTTATAACTTTTTACATTTTTTCTTAGCTCCAAATGGCCGATGTGGGTACAGGCCTACAAAGACTGACGTTTTATCACACAGGCCAGCATAGGCCGATTTTGGGTGTCAATGAGCAGTCTAGCAATGTGGATGTGGATGTCAACCTACACGCCTACAAAGGCCGATGTTGGTGTCAGTGCACCACATGTCAACAAAGGCCGATGTTGGTGTCAGTGCACCACATGTCAACAAAGGCCGATGTTGGTGTCAGTGCACCACATGTCACCAAAGGCCGATGTTAGTGTCAGTGCACCACATGTCACCAAAGGCCGATGTTGGTGTCAGTGCACCACATGTCAACAAAGGCCGATGTTGGTGTCAGTGCACCACATGTCAACAAAGGCCGATGTTGGTGTCAGTGCACCACATGTCAACAAAGGCCGATGTTGGTGTCAGTGCACCACATGTCAACAAAGGCCGATGTTGGTGTCAGTGCACCACGTGTCAACAAAGGCCGATGTTGGTGTCAGTGCACCACGTGTCACCAAAGGCCGATGTTGGTGTCAGTGCACCAAGTGTCACCAAAGGCCGATGTTGGTGTCAGTGCACCACATGTCAACAAAGGCCAATGTTGGTGTCAGTGCACCACATGTCACCAAAGGCCGATGTAACGGTCACCATGGTCCAACCTCAGAGCTGGCCATGTCCAGCATATTTACACACCCAGGTCCACCCCTGTCAACACGGGCCAACAACCGACAGGTGATAATGAAGCAGATCTCCAGATACTTGACCTAATTAATCTTAAGATTCCCCATCTGTTACCTGAGTGCTCTAATGAACATCGCCAAACCCCGTATCACCTGTTGGTCTTACTTGGCAACTTGACAAGACGGGCCACGATACAAGCTGGCCAACTTAGACCCTACATGGCCCGTATAGAACCAAAATGGCCAACTTAGACCCAACATGGCCAACATAGACCCAAAATGGCCAACACCCAACATGGCCAACATAGACCAAACATGGCCAACATAGACTCAACATGGCCAACATAGACCCTACATGGCCAACATAGACCCAACATGGCCAACATAGACCCAACATGGCCAACACCAAACATGGCCAACATAGACCCAACATGGCCAACTTAGACCCGACATGGCCAACATAGACCCAACATGGCCAACATAGACCCGACATGGCCAACATAGACTCAACATGGCCAACATAGACCCAACATGGCCAACATAGACCAAACATGGCCAACATAGACCCAACATGGCCAACTTAGACCCAACATGGCCAACTTAGACCCAACATGGCCAACTTAGACCCAACATAGACCCAACATGGCCAACTTAGACCCAACATAGACCCAACATGGCCAACATAGACTCAACATGGCCAACATAGACCAAACATGGCCAACATAGACCAAACATGGCCAACATAGACCCAACATGGCCAACATAGACCAAACATGGCCAACATAGACCCAACATGGCCAACATAGACCCAACATGGCCAACATAGACCCAACATGGCCAACATAGACCCAATATGGCCAACATAGACCCTACATGGCCAACATAGACCCAATATGGCCAACATAGACCCAACATGGCCAACATAGACCCAACTTGGCCAACATAGACCCAGAAGGAAAGCTCCAGTCCCGATATGCACGTGTAATTTGTGTTTGTGTGACTGACAAAGTACCACGTGTAAATTGTGACTGACCAACTACCACGTGTAAACAGCCACCTACGCCTACTGACTCACGTGACATTTCAGACAGAACCAGCCCAGTGACACGACGGAGCTGACAGTAGTCAGTTCTGGTTCCCCCCTCCCCCACATGGTGCCCCGCTAAGATCACGTGATGTGTGCAGAGTGAGTGATGCAATCACTCAGGTATTTTCTGACACCCCCCCCGCCCCCCAAGTTTTGGGAGTGGCCGATACAGAGGGAAAAGATGATGTTGATAGACCTACATACATTCGAATATATATAATTATAATGTATATATATTTACATGTGTGTGTACACCCGCATAAACATATATGTATGCTACATGTAAACATGACCAAAGACCTTACACACCGGCATATAATTACATGAAGTGGTACATTCCTCTAAAGGTGTGCTGCTAAGCCCCAGGCGCGTCTTCAAGATTTAATATCAGATTCTTTCTTTCTTTTTCCTCCTTCAGCATACCTTGTTAGCCCCCTCCCCTCCTATACCTTCCTCCACTGCTTAAGGCAAATATCGTATTATCTGCCCCTGTTTAACACAAATAACTTATTATCTCCCCCTCTGCACGTGAAATCGTGAGCAAGATGGCGGCGCACATCACGGGGCTAAGGTAAAAGATCAAAGACGAGTGCCCTCTTAAGTTTTTTTTGTGCTGGATGAGTAGGGGGGGGGGGGCGTCATTCATTTATCTACACCTACACAGTTATTTCATGGGAGGGGGGGGGGAAGCAAACAGACCACGCCCGTTAGGTTATAAAACATATTTACTGCAGAGATTAAGAGATATATTTAAAATGATTTGCAATTTTTTTTGTGATTGCCTTAGGGACATACGAGATAAAATTCTCCTTTGGGGATCGTCTATAAATGATGTAAAAAATGTAGTGGGAGGAAAGATGAAGGCTGGTATACCTACCCATATATAACACGTTAATTTTTTTCTTCATGTGGTGTTTATGTTAAATTTTGTGTTCTTTGAGTAGGGGCGGGATTTTGTTTTTTTACAACAATGAGGCGAGGGAGACCGTTATGGTTTATGGGATGTGGTTGCTCTCCTAACCATGGGAAGTGGTGCCCCCATTTTCAGCTTGGTGTTGCTCATGCTATGCTACAACAACTTCGTCAGCATTAACTGTACGGGAGCTCTAGTGGTAAGTTTTACAGCGAACGTCTCAAGGATGATGTGGCTGGATAAATGAAAGCTGACTACAACGGCGTCGGACCTATGGCCATCAAAACAGTCGGATAGACGGCCATCAAAACAGTGGGATAGACGGCCATCACAAGTGGGATAGACGGCCATCAAAACAGTGGGATAGACGGCCATCAAAACAGTGGGATAGACGGCCATCAAAACAGTGGGATAGACGGCCATCAAAACAGTGGGATATACGGCCATCACAACAGTGGGATAGACGGCCATCAAAACAGTGGGATAGACGGCCATCAAAACAGTGGGATAGACGGCCATCAAAACAGTGGGATAGACGGCCATCACAAGTGGGATAGACGGCCATCAAAACAGTGGGATAGACGGCCATCAAAACAGTGGGATAGACGGCCATCAAAACAGTGGGATAGACGGCCATCACAACAGTGTAACCGACAAAAGACAATGACATGGACAACAAACAAACACACTGCCCATGAAACCAACCAAAAACACACTGACACATAAACCTAAGAACACACAAAAGACGGTGAAAGAACTGACCTGTGTCGTAGATCAGGATGTTTTCAGGGAGGTCATCACCTTTGTAGATACACAAGACCTTGGCCTTTCTGGAGAGGTCAGCCTGGATCTCCCCTTCTACCTCCATGACAATGACGTACTGACTGTCCTGAAGTTTGTCGGGGACCACCGTCTCGTCCGTCCCCTTACATTTGATCTCCTCAGCCACCACCACACACGCCATCACCAACACGACAGCCAGCAGCAACCACCGACCACATCCAAGTTTCACAGCCATTGTTTAATTAATCCAATCAGTTAATTTTAACCGGAAGTTAATGAAACCAGCTGGACCGCGGTACAGACTAAACAGTGAGTCGACGCAGCTATTTATAGCCTAGGATAGACCTGTGGCATTGGATGAATAGAGGCGGGTTAGGGCTGAGCGTGTACCTGCAGGATACCTGCACAACATGAGACCACTTTTAGGTAGACAACAACAGCATCAAGAGACCAGAATTTCAGACCATTGCTGGATTTAGAGACCACAAAATGAGACCATAAATAACATGATTAAGTGACCACAAATCAGACCACTACAGCATTAAGAGACCACACATTCAGACTACGACAGCATCAAGATACCACAAATGCTGACCACGACAGCATTAAGACCACTGCAGTATCTCCAGACCAAAACTTTAGACCACACAAGGATCAAGAGACCAAAACTTTAGACCACACAAGGATCAAGAGACCAAAACTTTAGACCACACAAGGATCAAGAGACCAAAACTTTAGACCACACAAGGATCAAGAGACCAAAACTTTAGACCACACAAGGATCAAGAGACCAAAACTTTAGACCACACAAGGATCAAGAGACCAAAACTTTAGACCACACAAGGATCAAGAGACCAAAACTTTAGACCACACAAGGATCAAGAGACCAAAACTTTAGACCACACAAGGATCAAGAGACCAAAACTTTAGACCACACAAGGATCAAGAGACCAAAACTTTAGACCACTAAAGGATCAAGAGACCAAAACTTGAGACCACTAAAGGATCAAGAGACCAAAACTTGAGACCACTAAAGGATCAAGAGACCAAAACTTGAGACCACTAAAGGATCAAGAGACCAAAACTTGAGACCACTAAAGGATCAAGAGACCAAAACTTGAGACCACTAAAGGATCAAGAGACCAAAACTTGAGACCACTAAAGGATCAAGAGACCAAAACTTGAGACCACTAAAGGATCAAGAGACCAAAACTTGAGACCACTAAAGGATCAAGAGACCACATTCTGACAACTACAGCAGCACTAGAGCATCTTTAAGAAACAAATGCGACACGACGGTAGTCACACATCAAAGTAGAAGTCTGGTCGGGGGGGGGGGGGGGACTGTCACCATACTGACATGACATACATTATGTCTGTCACCAGACTGACATGACATACATTATGTCTGTCATCAAAACAGACATGACATTCGGCATATCTGTCAGCATCTGACATGACATACATTATGTCTGTCAACAAACTGACATGACATACATTATGTCTGTCAACAAACTGACATGACATACATTATGTCTGTCACCAGACTGACATGACATATATGTCTGTCAACAAACTGACATGACATACAGGATGTCTGTCAACAAACTGCCACCACGTATGTTCTAACCCTGATAGGAAGATAACTCGTGTAGCCCATCAATCGCTGAGGGGGGGGGGTGCACTCAGATAATGTTTAACGGGGCAGGACACATAGATCTACATCTAGGACAAACATGGCCATGTTTGTGATTGGCGAGAGATACATTTATCTCTGTAGACGAAACACAGGACAAGAAATAGCTACATTGATAGGCCAAATCTCAATGTATGACAGGAGGGGGGGGGGCATAGCTACCATTGTCAACCAGCAGCTACACACATAATCAGACCCACAGCTACCATAATCACACACGAGTCACATATAGCTACCCCCAGTCCCACAAAAGTCACACATAGCTCACCCTGTCCCACAGGAGTCACACATAAATACCCCCACAGGAGTCACACAGGAGTCACATATAGCTACCCCTTTACCACAGGAGTCACACAGGAGTCACATATAGCTACCCCTTTACCACAGGAGTCACACATAGCTACCCCTTTACCACAGGAGTCACACAGGAGTCACATATAGCTACCCCTTTACCACAGGAGTCACACATAGCTACCCCTTTACCACAGGAGTCACACAGGAGTCACATATAGCTACCCCTTTACCACAGGAGTCACACAGGAGTCACATATAGCTACCCCTTTACCACAGGAGTCACACAGGAGTCACATATAGCTACCCCTTTACCACAGGAGTCACACACGAGTCACACAGGAGTCACACAGGAGTCACACATAGCTCACCCTGTCCCACAGGAGTCACACACGAGTCACACACGAGTCACACAGGAGTCAACAGGAGTCACACATAACTACCCCTGTCACAGGAGTCACACACGAGTCACACAGGAGTCAACAGGAGTCACACAGGAGTCACACAGGAGTCACACAGGAGTCACACATAGCTCACCCTGTCCCACACGAATCACATATAGTTCACCCTGTCCCACAGGAGTCACACACGAGTCACACAGGAGTCACACAGGCTGCCCTTGACAATCCCATCTGGCGAGTTCACATCTATTTAAATAATTTAATTATTTCAATGGCCTACGCCGTGTCAGTGATCTTTAAACTTTGAATGAGTGTAGATCTAGATCTAGATGTAGTATAGCGCTGTAGTTTCCTGGTGTACCAGACACAGTAGATGCATGTGGTATACGACATCACACAATAGAACATCATCTAAAGACCTCGATATATGGTACACATCACACTATAGAACATCACCAAAAGACCTCGATATATGGTACACATCACACAATAGAACATCATCCAAAGACCTCGATATATGGTACACATCACACTATAGAACATCACCAAAAGACCTCGATATATGGTACACATCACACTATAGAACATCACCAAAAGACCTCGATATATGGAACACATCACACTATAGAACATCACCAAAAGACCTCGATATATGGAACACATCACACTATAGAACATCACCAAAAGACCTCGATATATGGTACACATCACACTATAGAACATCACCAAAAGACCTTGATATATGGTACACATTACACTATAGAACATCAACAACAGACCTCGATATATGGTACACATCACACTATAGAACATCACCAAAAGACCTCGATATATTTGAAATATGACATCACTATAGAACATAATCATAAGACCTCGATATATGGTATAACTATATGACATCACCCGTCATCACTAAGAAACATCACCAAAACCAAATTTCAACATAGCTGGGTAGGATGAATGAACGCATAACTTAATCGATGCTCTCCCTTTTTCAAAAACAACAATAGGCATAGGAAACTAAAACAAATAAGCCTTTACACCTTATGATAACAATAAAAACGATTTCGTATAATCCAAGTGTAGCTCAAAGTAAAACTACAGCAACATAGAATATTTCCAGAACAACACACGAGCGGTAATTAGATTAATTAGTTCACCCACTGTTTTAAATTAACATACAGAAATATCCGAGTGAGTCGAAAAACAGCACCGTCAAGGGGGAGAAACTAGCAGACGAGAGCGCTGAAAGCCAGCGGACCGCGGGACAATAGCCTGTCGATGGTTGGTTACCCCGCTCGCCGGGTCACGCGCATGCGCGGAGGATGAAGGAAATAACCCGAAGTGCGCCTTCAAACATCAATAGAGATGCAGCACTTTTATTCTCACTCTATCGTCGGGTGTGTAGGGGACGCGGGCAGGGGAGGGCGGGCGCTAGGGTGAGTTTGCGGGGTGGGTTGGGGGAGGGGGGGGGGGGTGAGTCTGGGAGAGCAGGCGTTGGAGAGGGGATCAGAGGAACTTTGAAAGGAAATGTTAAAATGATAAAACTAACGATTCTGGATTAGGTTGATGGTTTGTGGGTCAAAACTATTTTTTTTAATGCTCGCATCTCTAGCATGGCGGTGGCGAGTATGGGGTTAATATCGGCAATATTAGAAGTTAGGGGTTCATATCTGCAGTATTTGAAGGCAGGGGGGTTAATATTTGCAATATTTGAAGGCAGGGGGTTAATATCTGCAACATTAGAATGTAGGGTGGGGGGGGGGGGTTATATGTAAAAGGCGCAGGATTTTTTAATTATAGAACTCTTGGTGTGGTTTGGAACCTAGTTGTAAGCCTTCACCGCTCGTGATATGGGGAAGGGGATGGCGTGCTACACCATTTTACCACACCCCAATCCCTTTCGACATAATTAGTCAGATTACATAAAAACATTCAACTCCCCGCCTATAAATATAAGCATGAACCTTTTTTCTATTATATCTGTTTTATTTATTTATAAAAACAACACCGTCTAATTGAAAAGTCTCATTTAGTTATCTCCCCTTGGCATACGTCCTCCCTAGTCCAATCATTGTTAAAGGGAGGTTAGAACCCCAAATTGAAATCACTGAGTTGTGACAGTTTCAAGTTAAAGTTGTAAATAACATAAACAATTAAGCAAAACCACAAAAATCTCTAAAAATTCATGATTAGATCTATATCTAAAATAAATTGTACGATAAAATTTCATTTTTTTGGGTAAAAAATACCAACTCAAAAGCATTCAGTAAGGAACACAGAAAATAAGGTGTATTAGACAGAACAGCATAGAAAGTAATAAAAGTTGGATTTTTTCGACTAATTTTTTTAAAACGTGACTTAACATCTGGCTTATTTATTTTGTAAAATAAATTTTTTAATATATAGTCTATCTTTTAAAGCAAAGTCACCTCTTCGAGTCAGGAGTCATATCTTCGAGTCAGGAGTCATATCTTCAATTTAGGAGTCATATCTTTGAGTCTGGAGCCATATCTTCATGTTAGGAGTCGTATCTTCGAGTTAGGAGCCATATCTACGAGTCATGAGCCATATCTACGAGTCTGAAGTTACCGAGTCAGAGTCACGATGGCCACACAAAGATGTTTGGGCATTAACCCCTTTCTGGAAGATCCCCCCCCCCACCCCAGGGGCCCAATTTATTTTTAAACACTGACGCAAGCAAGCAATGCACGTTCTATGAAAGGAATTCTGGGTCAAAAATCTCATGAATATCCGGCATACCACGTCTGTCATGTTTGTCTGTAGGAAGTGACGTCATCAAATTTCTTCTTTTGTTGACATGAGATAGCAACGTCCGGCAGATCATGGCGGAGGGCCAATCGGTCTGGCTAGGATTGTAGCACATCTTTATCAACCCTAACACATGATTGTAGCACATCTTTATCAACCCTATCACAAGATTTTAGCACATCTTTATCAACCCTAACACAAGATTTTAGCACAACTTTATCAACCCTCTCACAAGATTGTAGCACATCTTTATCAACCCTAACACAAGATTTTAGCACATCTTTATCAACCCTATCACAAGATTTTAGCACATCTTTATCAACCCTAACACAAGATTTTAGCACAACTTTATCAACCCTCTCACAAGATTGTAGCACATCTTTATCAACCCTAACACAAGATTTTAGCACATCTTTATCAACCCTAACACAAGATTTTAGCACATCTTTATCAACCCTAACACAAGATTTTAGCACATCTTTATCAACCTTAACACAAGATTTTAGCACATCTTTATCAACCCTAACACAAGATTTTAGCACATCTTTAGTAACCCTAACACAAGATTTTAGCACATCTTTAGCAACCCAAACACAAGATTTTAGCACATCTTTATCAACCCTAACACAAGATTTTAGCACATCTTTAGTAACCCTAACACAAGATTTTAGCACATCTTTAGCAACCCAAACACAAGATTTTAGCACATCTTTATCAACCCTAACACAAGATTTTAGCACATCTTTAGTAACCCTAACACAAGATTTTAGCACATCTTTATCAACCCAAACACAAGATTTTAGCACATCTTTAGTAACCCTAACACAAGATTTTAGCACATCTTTATCAACCCTAACACAAGATTTTAGCACATCTTTATCAACCCTAACACAAGATTTTAGTCTGACGTGAAATACGATCCTGCAGCTTGAGACCCTAATTGGTTAATTGGACTTCACGTTTGATTTCAGTAATTTTCGGGAAAATTTGTTAATTAACAAAATTGTGTTATAGAAAAACTATTTTAATGAGAGGGTTAAAACTAATTAAATAAAACATTCATTAAAAATATTCTTTAACAAAAAATATTATAAACGATTTTTATAATATATAACTTTTAGAGCATAAAATAATATTTCACCCAATATCAGTTCTTTCCCTTTCATTCATTGTTCGCCAGCGGGTAATAATTTATCGCTCATGGACAAGAAAGATAACTCGGGAAATATTGTTTAGTTAAAATGTCAAGGTTCATTCCCTTTAACGCGCGGTTGAAAAGTGAATACGTATATTACCAGATGTTGACATTGATGAAAGCTAATAATAAAACGAATGTGAGTAATGCTCAGAGTTTCTTTAGGCATCTCTTCGGCCCTGAACCCACCCCCCACCCCCCGAAGAAAGTCTACCGCCCCCCCCCTCCCCCGAAGGAAATGGAATTTATATAGAAAACATACTTTTAACAGTGTCCGCCCCCCCCTGCCGGAAAATGTTGTCCGCTCCCCCCTCCCCGAAAATATCAGGTCCCCCCCCCCCCTGGAGAGGAAAGTCTATCGCCCCCCCCCCCCCCGAACGAAATGAAAATTATATAGAAAATATATACTTTTAACAGTGCCCCCCCCCCCCCCACCAAAAATTTCAAGTGTACCCCACCCCCACCCCCCACGGAGAAAAAGTCTGGAAGAAACAATGGTCATCCTCCACGTCACGACTTTATTGGTCGATATTTAGCTCTTCCCCCTAACCCAATGTCACACACTGTTACAAAAAAGCTGGACTAACCCCCACCCCCTTTAAATTAGCATTACACATGAGCTTAAAATCTACTAAAATTGCTATTTTAGTTTTTTTCAATGGATATTTTTTTCAAAAATATTGACTAAGCTCGGTCAACATTGAGTATATCAAACATTTCTGTTACAATTTACATAACAGATTATTAAAAAAAACGCGAGATAACAGCTAAAAGTTCAGTTTCTTACTTTCTAAAACTGAAAACTATGTCGCACTACTTACTGAGACCTGCCTTTGGTTACACATCGTTACAAAATTTTGACCCCCCCTCCCAGGAAGTGTGACGTCATTTATGGACGACCCCTCACATGTGATAACCTGCGACTTAATTGTTGTCTAGGAGACGTGTAAACAAATACCCAAGTTCATATACAACAACAGGAAACAAATGTTTTCTATCAGACAACAAAAAATTTATATGTGCCGTTTATTGTATGGGTGCTGTGCTATAAATAGCAAGTCACGTGACCTAAGCGTCGTTATTAAAAAAAAACTGTGTTACCCTGATCTGTTTTCGTAAACCGTTTCCTGTCGGCGCAGAAGGTAAACAATACGACCACGTGACCAGATGTAGATGGACGTCAACACTACCCGGGCTGGTAGGTGGGTAGCATGAGGTAGGTTAGAGAGGTGGGGTGTGGGGGTGGGGTGTGGGTTGGGGGGGGGGTCACAAGAGGTAGGTCAGACAGTTAGGTGGGGATGGGGTGTGTGGGGGGGGGTGATGTGTGGGTTGGGGGGGGGTCATAAGAGGTAGGTCAGACAGTTAGGTGGGGGGAGGGGGTGGGGGGGGGTGAGGTGTGGGTTGTGGGGGTTCATAAAAGGTAGGTCAGAGAGTGAGGTGGGGGGGGGAGGGGGTGTGGGGGTGAGGTGTGGGTTGTGGGGGTTCATAAGAGGTAGGTCAGAGCGTGAGGTGGGGATGGGGAGGGGTTACATCTAATCAGGGTGTGTAGTTTAACCGGGGGCCTAACCTGATCACCAAGACGGGATTCGTTAGGATAAAATTAAAACTAAAACACCCTCTCTTTACAGATGAAGCAGAGCCTATGTAATTCCATGCGAATTTAAACACCAGTATATACCCTAATTTACAATCCGGCCATAATTCACCACATACATTCAGATTCAGCGTGTAAGCCGGTCTAAATCAGTTTACACCAGATTATATATCAACTCCACGGGACTAAAACTGATGACGTATGTTGCATAACTTAACCACCCCCCCCCCTTCCCTCTTCTTCCTTCTCGAGCGTGAAGGTCATGTAATTAGATTAATCTCTAGCTAATTACATGTGCAAATTTAGCGTGGCGACAGTTTTATCGCAAGTCCTGGGTAAACATTTGAAAGTGGATTAAAACGGAGTCATTCATTCACTGAGGTCAATGTCAATGTTACTTTTAACCGTAAATAAATCTGGTGTTTAGAATGCTCCTTTTAATACTATTCGGTTAAACATAAATAAATAACAAATATTTCTAACCAGTATGTCCAGATTTACTGGTTGCCCGCGTTACGGGAGTCACGTGTCTCTCCCCAGATACCAACCAGATGTTGTGTCAACCTAGCGTAGCTAAGTGACCAGTGTCCGGTCTCCGACCAAAGAGCTGGAGGGCTTGTGTGTTGTGTAATGTTGACGGCTTGCGTCGAGTTATCGGACTTTCCCGATTGTATTGTTGTCCCACTTAGTAGGCAGGTCATATTTAAAGTCGTATCTCTTTTATTCTTGAACATTCTAGTCACATCTGATCATAGAAATTAGATGATCACTAAAGTATAATGCTACTATTAATAAAATACCGGTTTTTGTAGGACAGAATATTAGAAATGATGTGTAGGTTACAAATTTTGGGAAGGGGGGGGGTGGTATAACAGTAAGCCGATAAAAAAAGTAAACGATGACTCTACAGAGTTTCTTCCAGGCATCTCTTTGGGGGGGGGGGGGGGGGGGGGGGCAGAGTCCTCCCAAAGAAAGTCTACCGCCCCCCCCCCCTGAACAAAATGGAATTTATTTAGAAAATATATACTTTTAACAGTTTCCGGTGCTTGCCCCCCCCCCCCCCCCACAGAAAATTTCAAGAGCCCCCCCCCCCTCCGGAGAAAAAAGGCTGCAAGAAACACCATGCTTGCTGGTGTGTCTGTTTGTTTGTGTGCGTGTAAAGTTTATAATTAGGTTCTATGTAAAGTTTATATGTTACAGTTTGTAGTTTCCAAAAAGTTATTGAGGCTATTTTAAAACTGCGCGAGTTCTGCTGCCCACTGAAGCGTGACGAATGGAGGACGCCATATTAGTAGGCCACGGTTAGCGAGACGCCGTGACGTTTTGACAAGATAAACAAGAGGGGAGGGGAGATCAGTCACGGTCCCGTGTCATGTGACCCGCTGGAGTGTGTGGTCAGTAGAGACACTGGCGCCCGAGAAGAACGCAGCAATGTTAGGCGGGGTGGACTCAAGGGGAGAGAACTTGGACTAATGGACAAAACGTTTCTGTTTGTCTGCTCTTGGATATTGCACTGTGGATATGGAGGTAGGCAGGTGGTGTCCTGGTTGTGTTGTGAGTTCATTGTGACGTCGGTGAGAGAGTTCATTGTGTTGTGTGTGGGTTGTGTTGTGTTGTGTGTGTGTTGCTTGTGTTGTGTGTGAGTTGATTGTGTGGTGGGTGAATAATGTGGTGGTCTGTTGTTGTTGTCAAAAAGTGATGTTGGAGTATCTGGTGATTGTTGGTGTCGTAGTCATCGGTTGTTGGATAATGTCACTTTGATATTTGTTGGATAATGTCACTTTGATATTTTGTGTTGTTGGATAATGTCACTTTGATATTTTATGTTGTTGGATAATGTCACTTTGATATTTTATGTTGTTGGATAATGTCACTTTGATATTTTATGTTGTTGGATAATGTCACTTTGATATTTGTTGGGTAATGTCACTTTTATATTCGTTGGATAATGTCACTTTGATATTTGTTGGGTAATGTCACTTTTATATTCGTTGGATAATGTCACTTTGATATTTTGTGTTGTTGGATAATGTCACTTTGATATTTTGTGTTGTTGGATAATGTCACTTTGATATTTGTTGGATAATGTCACTTTGATATTTTATGTTGTTGGATAATGTCACTTTGATATTTTATGTTGTTGGATAATGTCACTTTGATATTTTGTGTTGTTGGATAATGTCACTTTTTAATTTGTTGGATAATGTCACTTTGATATTTTATATTTGTTGGATAATGGCACTTTGATATTTTGTGTTATTGAATAATGTCACATATTAAAATATTTTATTTGATGTCATCTTTTGTTGGATTATGTCACCTAGAAGACAGAAAGGATAGTGTTGTGTTTAAACAAGAATATCCATAACACCAATATCACCAATATTGCAGTTGTTTTAGTACTATGACGTTGAGGTCTTTTGTCGTCATCACGATCTTGTCTTCATTGTGTCATTGTGATAACAATTTTAGATTATTCATATATCATGTTGTGTTCTTATGTTATGCTCATATGTCATGTTGTGTTCATATGTCATATTAGTTATTTAAAAACGTATATGTGTGCTCGTAGATTAGTGATTGTCATTCATTTAGTCATCAGTACGCTGGAAATGGCAGCAAGTTATTAATTAACCATAATACAATACTAATTATATTAATTGTACAGTTCAAAGGTCAGGCATAATTAGCCAAGCATTACGAAACTAGATGTGGAAAGGGGACTTGGATTATTTCCTTGTTCGAACAGTTGGAATTTGTGATAAAATTTCTGGCTTTTGTTTAACTGAACAGGCTTGCTTTCGGGTTAGGTTTAGGACTAGGTTTAATGTGAGGGTAGGTTTAGGATTAGGTTTAATGGGAGGTTAGGTTTAGGATTAGGTTTAATGGGAGGTTAGGTTTAGGATTAGGTTTAATGGGAGGTTAGGTTTAGGATTAGGTTTAATGGGAGGTTAGGTTTAGGATTAGGTTTAATGGGAGGTTAGGTTTAGGATTAGGTTTAATGGGAGGTTAGGTTTAGGACTAGGTTTAATGTGAGGTTAGGTTTAGGACTAGGTTTAATGTGATGTTAGGTTTAGGACTAGGTTTAATGTGAGGTTCGGTTTAGGACTAGGTTTAATGTGAGGTTAGGTTTAGGACTAGGTTTAATGTGAGGTTAGGTTTAGGACTAGGTTTAATGTGAGGTTAGGTTTAGGACTAGGTTTAATGTGAGGTTAGGTTTAGGACTAGGTTTAATGTGAGGTTAGGTTTAGGATTAGGTTTAATGTGAGGTTAGGTTTAGGACTAGGTTTAATGTGAGGTTAGGTTTAGGACTAGGATTAATGTGTGGTTAGGTTTAGGACTAGGTTTAATGTGAGGTTAGGTTTAGGACTAGGTTTAATGTGAGGTTAGGTTTAGGACTAGGTTTAATGTGAGGTTAGGTTTAGGACTAGGTTTAAAGTGAGGGTAGGTTTAGAGCTAGGTTTAAAGTGAGAGTAGGTTTAGAACTAGGTTTAATGCGAGGGTAGGTTTAGGGCTAGGTTTAAGTTGAGAGTAGGTTTAGAACTAGGTTTAATGCGAGGGTAGGTTTAGGGCTAGGTTTAAAGTGAGAGTAGGTTTAGAACTAGGTTTAATGCGAGGGTAGGTTTAGGGCTAGGTTTAATGTGAGGTTAGGTTTAGGGCTAGGTTTAAAGTGTGAGTAGGTTTAGAACTAGGTTTAATGCGAGGGTAGGTTTAGGGCTAGGTTTAATGTGAGGGTAGGTTTAGAACTAGGTTTAATGTGAGGGTAGGTTTAGGGCTAGGTTTAATGTGAGGGTAGGTTTAGGGCTAGGTTTAATTCACACGCTCCTGTGTTGACAGCATCACCCAGCATCTGCCCGGCCCCAGCATCAAACAGAACGTCCAGCACTGGTCATCTGTCACCCGTCGTCCTGGTCTCGTGCAGCAGAGGATGTTGCACGGACTCAACGGACGGATGCTGCTACAGGACTACGTAAGTCGGTCATGCACATTTGTTGGTCATACACATTTTGTTGGTCATACACATTTTTGGTCATACACATTTTGTTAGTCATACACGGTTTGTTGGTCATACACGGTTTGTTGGTAATACAAAATTTGTTGGTCATATACATTTTGTTGGTCATACACATTTTGTTGGTCATACACATTTTATTGGTCATACACATTTTGTTGGTCATGCACTTTTTGTTGGTCATACACATTATGTTGGTCATACACATTTTGTTGGTCATACACATTATGTTGGTCATACACATTATGTTGGTCATACACATTTTGTTGGTCATACACATTTTGTTGGTCATACACATTTTTGGTCATACACATTTTGTTAGTCATACACGGTTTGTTGGTCATACACGGTTTGTTGGTAATACAAAATTTGTTGGTCATATACATTTTGTTGGTCATACACATTTTGTTGGTCATACACATTTTCTTGGTCATACACATTTAGTTGGTCATACACATTTAGTTGGTCATACACATTTTGTTGGTCATACACATTTTGTTGGTCATACACATTTTGTTGGTCATACACATTTTGTCGGTCATACACATTTAGTCGGTCATACACATTTTGTCGGTCATACACATTTTGTTGGTCATACACGGTTTGTTGGTCATACACATTTTGTCGGTCATACACAATTTGTTGGTCATACACGGTTTGTTGGCTACATACATATTTTATTGGTCATACACATTTTGTTGGTCATACATATTTTGTTGGTCATACATATTTTGTTAGTCATACACGGTTTGTTGGTCATACACAATTTGTTGGTCATACACGGTTTGTTGGTTACATACATATTTTGTTGGTCATACACATTTTGTTGGTCATACACATTTTGTTGATCATACACATTTTGTTGGTCATACAAATTTTCTTGGTCATATACATTTTGTTGGTCATACAAATTTCTTTGGTCATACACGGTTTGTTGGTTACAAACAGATTTTGTGGTGGTCTAATGTAACTTTTTTGTTGGTTGTAAACCACTTTTCTTTGGGCGTACATCTTTTGTTGGTCGCATAATCCATTTAGTTAAATAAACAATCTTGAACGTGAAAACATTCGTACAAAACTAAACCTACAATGTAGAAACAAACGCACTTTGTCAGGTAGAATTTGTGTGGTGGCTGTACTGTGTGCTATCATGTTGTTGTTGCTGTGTTACAGTGATGATGTTGTGGTGTATGCGGCACCAATATGTGTGGTGGCTGTGCTATCATGTTGTTGTTGCTGTGTTACAGTGATGATGTTGTGGTGTATGCGGCACCAATATGTGTGGTGGCTGTGCTATGTGCTGTCGTCTTGTTCCTGCTCTGGCTCCGGAGGAAACGTACGCAGGAGAGACTACTGGCAGAGAGTAAACCAGGTGAGTCCAACCGGAAGTTGTAAACAGGTTGGTCTAACCGGAAGTTGTAAACAGGTTGGTCTAACCGGAAGTTATTAATATTACCGGATTGTCAGTCTTGTTTTCATGGTTTGCGATGATGACATTTTTTTGCTGACTTTATGACATTTGTGTTGTTGACAATCTGACATCTGGACAACCCACCAGCAACCCCAACCACCTATGACAACCCACCTATTGTTTTTATCCCCCAGCAACCCCCACCACCTATGACAACCCTCCATCCTACTCCTCCTGCGTCATCCCTGTAACGAGCACTGCGGACCTGACGTCATTTGACGTCAACACCGAGGTTCAAGTTGACGTCCACCGCCACGAAAAAGAGGAAGACCCGCCCCTCCCCCCTCCCCCCATCTATGACGACATATTCCGTAACGGCGAGGACCAGATAGCCGTCATCAGCCCCACGGGTCGCGTCAGCTTTGTCGACCTGTGCGTCCTCTCGTCCACCGCCTGTTGCCATGCCAACAAAGACGCCGGAGGTACTTCCGCATGTGAAGAAGGCTGCGTCAACTACAGGGATGACGTCACACAAACGACGGAAGTGGACGAGTCAGATATCCCACAATGCACTGGTTACACTAGTACGGAAACGTCGGGTATACCCTCCTACGACGACTGTACCAGTACGGAGAAGCCGGCGGCCGCCAAAGCCACTTTCTACCTGCACAGCGAACACACCTGACCAGATTCACGGAACCAGATAGTTATTTCAGACTGTAGAAACGTTAACCCCCCCCCCCCCCTCATCCTCCACTCCACAAACACAAAAAGGAAAGATTTGATGCGATCCCACCCTTGACAGTAGCCGATACTATAGACACTTCATATCTAGTCGGGAACATGGATCGTCGTTGTATCATAAAAAGTTATCATACCTCGATATGAAGCTACACCGCTGTTTCGCTGATGACGTCATACCATATAGGATAAAATTCCCGTGTTCAATAATTTTTGTGGTACGCTTGTTTTTCAAATAGTGATATATTTTTTCACAATGCTATCTGTAAATTATTTCTGGAAGTTTAAAAGGCATAAATACTTGTTTATCACGTACTGTTACTGTTTTTGACTTACTTCAATAAATTCCTTATTGTTTAACGACTGCCTAGTTGTTTTTAAAATGCCAAGTGTTTTTACAACCCTATGCAAAAGGACCATGATAATTTGGTTTAAAATAAGCCTCTTGGTAGTGTGTCAGTCAGTCAGCCGTCTCTGTGTGTGTGCGCGCGTTTGTGTGTGTTAACATGATAGAAAATTACCGGTTCGATTATGTGGACGAAATTTTATTCACAAGTAGCAGATCCATATAGATCTCTTTCAATGTTCTGAGCAAATTCTGGTAACCGGAAGTAGTACAATTATTTAACGTTTATCAAATACCGAATATTTGAGCTCAGTTTTAGTTAGGTAGACTTCATAATACGTAGAAGTATTAGATCGCAGTTTTTTTTTTAAATTTTTGATTATTTCCCACAACCGGAAGTGGTACTTTGCTATATTTCCGAGTGCCTTTTCAGTTGCGTAGACGAAATTTCATGTACAATTTTAATATCTTGTGCGTAAGTTTATAACAACTTTTGACAGTTTTTAAATTACCGGAAGTGGTACTTAAATTTCCGATTTCTGTAAAACATTGATAATTCGTATATAATATTCTCACACTTATTCTGCTCTCTGTGTAGTAAAAAAAATAGTTTGTTGGTCATACACATTTTGTTGGTCATACACATTGGAAATGAATGTAAAGTTAAGCAACGAATTATCTCCCATTTGAAAATCCAAATTACAAAATTTTATTCAAGGGAAATAACTTTCACAAGAATTGCTAAATTAACCAAGTGAAACTAAGATATGTTTAAAAAACACAATAAAACGCTATAAATTTCATTTCGTAATAATTACAACATATTATTTATGTAACATTGTGTTAACAATATATTTTACCTATTGAGTACTTAACAGCAGGTTTTGTTTTAAAGTATTATAACATACTTCTATTCAATTATGATGACATATATTTCATTGTCATTTTTGAAGGACCTATTGTAATAAAATTTTGGATCCCTTAAATAAAGGGATGTCTTTCAAATAATCAAACAGGGTGACTGTATTAGATATTGCTAGAATTATTGATTACATTAAAAAAACATTAATTTGGAAACAAAGTTTACGGTTAGTTATAAATTCCTTCCTATTAATATATACTAATACTTTAAGAGTGGTAATATAGTAAACTGAAAAACTAAAGATTTTTCAACTAGAGAACGATTACCTTTTTTTTTTGTAGTGTGTTCCGTACTGAATTGAAATCATCTAACTTACGATAAACTCGACTACTCTATATACTCTACTACATTCGCAACACATATCAAACTTCTATACCTAAACATAACTAGACTCAATGCTCCAGAAATACGACACCAACTCGTTTAACTTCACCAAGCTCTACAAACGGTACTCCCAGTCAACAACGATTTCACTGGACCTACTACTACACTTTAACAGTCAATATAATTCGATACCTTAATACCACAAGAATCAATACTCCCGAACTCCAGAACTACGATACTTCATCACCTGCATTCTCATTTCTCTACTACCAATCAGATTCCGCCAGACATTCAACTACACAACAGCTAAATAAAAAATACGACGCTTTAACACTTACATACTTTACGAATCCTATCAGCAGCAGCCTTCCGCCGTTACTCCCAAATCTAAACGTGTCATCAAAACTTGCCAAACAAGTAGGCTACAATACTTTGAACACCCCGTCATTACAAAACTCTATATACCAGGACATATTTCTAATTCAAAGTCAGAGAAAACGAGACTTACAGGCCTTATTAAAATGTTCGAAATTTAAATTACGAACTTATTTAATCGTTTTCTACATCAATTATGTGACACCTAATTAAAAAGGCAAACTGGTAAAAAGCGCCCCGATCTTTCTAAATTAGGGAGGTGGGGTTGCATTTTCACCATCGCGGATAAAAAAGGCCTATATAGACCTAATTTTGGGGTGGGGTTGCAAAATTGATAGTTCGTCCTGGGTGCCGAAATAGATTGCTACTCCTTTATAAAAGCTATGAATTATTAGGTACCTTTTGATAATAGAGATTAAACCTTTTGCACCCCCTAGGAATGGCGCCCTAGGCGATCGCCTATTTCGCCTAATAGGCAGCGCAGGCCCTGCATGTGGTGTTTTTTTTAAAAAAATAATAAAAAAACGTTCTAATAACAAGCTATTATGTACTAATGCACTAAATAGGAGAAAATAAATGATAGACTACTATTTAAATAACTATAAAGAAAAGCGTGGGTCTCTTCCTAAATATTAGTAACGGTATCCAATAGATACTAAAGTGACCTATGCTTTTCTTTATAGTTATTTAAATAGTAGTCTATCATTTATTTTCTCCTTTTTTGCACTATTACATAAAAGCTTGTTATTAAAACGTTTTTTATGAATTTTTTTAACAAGCTTTTGTTTAACTCACTTCCTCTGTCTGTCTCTCTAGATCAAAACGGCGCAGCGACATTTTGGGCACTTCTAACCAATAGATTCGGTTCAAAATTGGCACGTGGGTTAAGACATGAAGACAATGCAACATGACATTAAATTTGACTTAATTGGTTGCTGATTAATTTTTTTAATGAATTAATTAAAATTTTGTCCAAATTAGTAGACTGTCTCATCAAACTATTCCGCACTATTACACACGCGTCATCACATTCATAAGGTGCGCAGTGGCTTTTAGTCATGCAACTAATTTTAAATTAAAAAAAAATTAAAGCTCTGAAAAAAATTCATAAAAAACGTTTTAATAACAAACTTTTATGTAATAATACACTACAAAGTAAAAATTAAATGAGTTTCTATAGTAATACACTACTATTTAAATAACTTTTAAATAACTTTTTACTTTTACTTTGATATTTTTTTAATATACGCACACCCTCGATTTATTACCACATTACCTACCTCGGTCAGCGGAAACATTTTTAACTTGAACCGATCGACTCACGAAGTGTCGAGGCTAGGTTAGGTATCTCCCCCTACCGTAAATTAAAAAAAAAAGCATTTTCTTTCCAGACGACACTCATGCCATACGTCATGGACAACACATTAACCTAGATACTAGAACAACATGTGCTGTTAAACTGCTAGCTACTGCTCACATTTGCTTACACACTGTCCACAGGTTAGATAAATATAGCAACACAAACACCAACAATTGTTGTGGACAAAAACAAGAATCAAGCAATGAGTGAGTCATTTCACAATGTTTTTATTCTCAGAGAAGCTCTTGAAAAAATAGTGCACATCTCTAATGTTATACAATCAAATTGACAAATATTTTCCTGCTGTTCTGTTGTTACATGTTGCAATTAATTATATATATATATATATATATATATATATATATATATATATATATATATATATATATATATATATATATATACGTTTTCATAAATTTATGTTAATTTCCTTAATTAACAGAGCAAAACATGTTTTTAGAAGATTCAGGTACAAACCACGAAAGTCAAATGCTTATGGGCACAAAGGCGACTCTGTGAATCTTTAGATACAATATAAGCTAATTTGATTGACAAACCCGTGAAAAAATATAAATATGTACAATTCTGTTTTAATTTAAAATATAGAATCTTTATCATTCTCTGGTAGTTTTACGAAAATAAAATGTGTAGTTTGAGCATGCGTCGTGTGTCGTGTTTCGTTCGGACTGATTGGTGTGCCATAAGTAGTCGTACGCCTAATTTAGGCTGGGGGATTGATAAAAATCTGGCAGGTTACGGTTTGCAAACCTTACAGGCAAGACGGCAACGTTCCTTCATGTAGGCAGGGTTGGAGACACACTGGTTCCTGTTGGCCCACTCCTGACATCTTGGGTTCTCGTCCTTGCACTCTCTCTCCTCGCTCTCGTCGGGCATGTCACCCAGACAGAGACCGTTCTCTTCGGTCTGACCTTTCCTGCAGGGAGACTTGCAGGACTTCTGGTAAGGTCTTTGCCTGTTCCAGTTGCCCATGGGGGTGTAGAAGCAGACCAACCACCAGGCGTTTTGGTAGGCGTTTCTCAGGTTGGGACATCTGGTTGACCAGCAGCCGACCTTCTGGGTCTTGTCCCACACCAGCTGAAAATGTCAAGTGGCATTTGTTATGTTAGGATGTCATTTTCCTTTAAGGGATTCGAGTCTTATGTTACCTAATTGTGTTATTTATGTAAAAAACTTTCAATTAAAAGACAATATTTATCAAGGCAAAAAGCATAAAACAACATAGGGATCTTATAAAACTGTGTTGCTTTTCAGTTTGCACATTTGGAAAATCATATTTAAATTATACCCTAAAATAAATTTTCTAAAAATTTCGAACCTTGGTACTCAATTTATTAGCAAATCTGGATAGTATTCAGGTGTTCAAAACCTACTTACACCTATATACAGCTACACTATTCGACAGAAAAATACAAAATTACAAATAAATAATCTACACTGAAGAATCTAACTAATCTATCAACGTTTTAGACCGACCAATCTGCAAATCCCATTAATCCTACTGCCCGAACTTAAAGACGCCTTCATCAACTCTAAACAGTATTGACTAAACATACAGACCACCCCCATCTACACATTGACCAACCATACAGACCACCCCCATCTACACCTTGACCAACCATACAGACCACCCCGATCTACACCTTGACCAACTATACAGACCACCCCCATCTACACCTTGACCAACCATACAGACCACCCCCATCTACACCTTGACCAACCATACAGACCACCCCCATCTACACCTTGACCAACCATACAGACCACCCCCATCTACACCTTGACCAACCATACAGACCACCCCGACCTACACCTTGACCAACTATAGACGTACATTGAACCAGCACAGCAACACATTGAGCAACACCTAGAATAAGTTGGTCAACCCAGCAGCCTTATCCAGCCATTGAGCAGTCCACATTGACCTGCCCCACCTTGACCTGCCCGTCCCCACCTTGACCAACTATAGACGTACATTGAACCAGCACAGCAATACATTGAGCAACACCTAGAATAAGTTGGTCAACCCAGCAGCCTTGTCCAACCTTAACTTGAGCAGTCCACTTTGACCTGCCCCCACCTTGACCTGCCCGTCCCCACCTTGACCAACCCCAACCTTGCCCCCCCCCCCTCCCTCCCTACCTGTGTGTAGTGACAGGACATAGAACACGAGTCCTGGCCGTAACTGTACAAATTCTTCTCATCAAACCAGGCAGTGAACCCGCCCAGGATCAATTCCTTCTCAGGCTGCTCCATAGAGTTCCAGGCCAAGTTCTCTCCCCTCCCAGGCAGAGACTCGTGCTTGTAGACGCAGCCCTCGGCCCATCGTCTCGCCTGATTTTCTAGGTCCATGTCTGAAAAAAAACGGGTCATTACATTTAAATATGCAGTACAAGAATTTTACTGGAGCTCTGTCAAAGGATTTTTGGAGTCTTTCAATTTTTACAAGTTTTTATTTAACTTCCTTTATCTGTTTGTCTGTTTGGCGTCACAGATTAAGACTACCGAGCGAAATTTCAAGCACTTCTGACTGATTCGTTACTAACTTGGCATGTGGGTCATGACCCAATGATAATGCAATCTGGCAAAAAATTTGACATAATTGGATGCCAAATTAATTTAGTATGAATTAATTAAAATTTACTAAATAAAGTAGGGGGGGGGGAGGGGCTACTATTTACGCACTATTATACGAGCATTTTAATGTTCATTTGGTGCGCAACAATTTTAGGCATGGGTCTCTATTGTATTAAAAATTCTAAAGTACTGAAAAAAAAGCTTAAAAACGTTTTAGTTACACGTTTTAAGATAATAATGCACTAAAAGGAGAAAATAAAAACAATTTTCTTAAAATATAATAATACACTACTATTTGAATAACTGATTTAATTTTTTAATGCATTTTTTCCATATCTTTTCCTGAGGATCTCTCAGATAGCTTGGAATGCACATTTTATCGGAGAATTTAATTTATTATTTTATTGCAATATAAGCGACTAATTATATTGTTCGTCAATAATTCAATTTTTTTAAAATATATAGAATCGCGATATAACCTATTCTAAAAAACAACAAGTACTGAATCCATTAATGTAGCAAAAAATCCACCCAGCTTAGAGTAGTCTCCCTTTGTCGTGTATGACGTACCGTAGATGAGCTTGTTGATCTGGCAACCTCCCTCCTTCCTCCTCTTGTCGTTGTGAAGTTCAAGGACGTAGTCACGCATCTCTTGGTTCCAGTTGGAGACCAGCGCCAGAGAGGCGACAAAAATGGCGGAAAAACACGTCACAAGCAGAAGACAATTCATGGTTATGGTTTGGTTGAAGTTCCCTGTAAATTGTTTATATAATAATATATCAATGTTTTTTTACGTAAATAAATAACTGTAAAACATAGAACTTAATTACTTTAGCTGGGCGTAATATTAAAGAGCTGACGATTTGAGTATGGAGACTTACAATAATAGTTGTATAAGTTGCCAATCTATTGAACATTGTATTACAGTTGTTGCTTTAATACTTGACACTTTCTATATCATTAAGTAAGACTTTTCAAAGCCGAATAGGGTTGAAAACAAATACATATTTTAAATTACTAAAACTCTCATAATTATTCATTACACTAATTGCATCAGTGAAACATTACACCCTGTAGTTCTTACACTAGGGGTGTAGCTGAATTACTGTTTAAAAAGACAGATTGGTGTTGTACAGCACAGCGGCGTAGCCAGGATCGTCTCAAGGCGGGGGGAGGGGGGGGGGGGTCCAATTTTTACCCGGGGACAAACTTTCGATTTGCACCCCCCCCCCCCCTCAAACTTTCGATTTACACCCTCCTCAAACTTTTGATTTGCACCCCCTCCCCTCAAACTTTCGATTTGCACCCCCCTCATACTTATTATATATATACAAAAGGGGTCTATGGGGGGCGGGGTTATGACCCCCCCCCTAACCCCCCCCCTGCCTACGCCACTGATACAGCAATATATTACTTGAAGAGAATGAAAACCAGTTCTCGCCTCGAGCCTCTGTTCAGTGATCTAACTGAATCCACAAGGTAACAAATAAATAAATAATGTATGTGTTATATAAGCTTCTATAAGCGAATAGATAATAATGTACACGGATTTAATTATTGCTAAAACATATATAACATAGTTTATCACAACAATGTTTTAAATGCACTGAAACGTTAAGAACATTTTTAATACGATATTGAAAAGGGTTGGTCTAAAATTTCAGAATTCAATAAAAAATATAGCTTTTGGTCGACCAATACTCTAAACAAATTGTGTCTATTACTCGATGATATTTGATTAACATATGTTTACATATTTCAATAACAGCATATGAATTTATATTATGTACTCAATTAACCTCCCTAACCGTAACAAGCTGTAGCATAACAACAGAGAATTACCCATGGTTTCATCCAACACTCCATGCTAGATATTCGTATGAAAACAAATTATTTTTTTTCTATATAAGCAACCTTAGTTGTCGATTTACGTAAACTTCAATAGTCGAGATACTAAACTAAATAAAAACCACTCGAATATGTATAGTGGTATAACTAGATATACATTATACAGATCTATATAGTGAAAAAGCTAGACCTACATTACACTAATCTATACAGTGATATAGCTAGACCTACATTACACTGATCTTTACAGTGATATAGCTAGACCTACATTACACTGATCTATACAGTGATATAGCTAGAGTTACATTACACTGATATATACAGTGATACAGCTAGACATACATTACACTGATCTATGTAGTTGTACAGCATGACATACACCACACTAATATCAAGAGAAACTCACCTAGAATTTGACGGTACCAGATCAAAGTCTACTGGAGCTACGATTCTCTGATCAGAACCCACTGGCTTATATAATCCCGCAGGCCTACAGCAATTATGGAAATAGAAAATTGACCGAAATGTCAGTAGATGAAAGCTTTAATTATATATTCAAATGAAATTGCCTGCCATTATATAATATCTATAAATTAGCAATTTCCCACCCCCACCGTTTTATTTTATCCTCCACCCCACGACAGGAAATCCCTACTTTGTATGAGAACCCAACATATTTTTTATCCACCCAATAAACCCGAGCCTTTCAGGTTAACCCACTGATCGCTTATATTACAGTAGAACCCATGTAAAGGGCAGTAGAGTACCTTGTTTTCAATTTTTAGAAGCCGTACGGTTTGAAACTTGTTTTGTAAAAGAGGAATTCGTAAATTGCCCTTCATTGAAAGTCTTGTAAAGTGAATAAATTAGTATAAAAATTGTCCATGTAATTAATTAATTTTTTTTAAAATTAATTAATCTCTATTTTTTTTAATGTCATGCTTAATTGTACTAAGAAGCACTTCCCTTTCGATGCACGATAATTGTTGTAAAATGTAATATTGTAAAATGCTTTGAATATATTTAGGACAAGCCTCTCTCCTCTCTCTCTCTCACTCTCTGTTGCTCTCTCTCTCTTTCTCTCTCTCAAAAAACGCATAATGCAGCTTTCTTTGGAAAGCTTTTACTACATTTCGAAATGTCTCCAGTACAGCCACTTTAGTTCAGGTATCTATGGGTAGCTCTCTGTGCTGATCTTCTCATACAGCCGAGCCCATTAGACTTCCTAGATATATATATATATATATATATATATATATATATATATATTGTACAGAATGACCTTTGAAATACTTGGTACTTGTATATTAAGTGATGGGCTTCTGCTTGATGCTATCTTTTCTGACCTCTGTTTTTTTACTGTTCTTTTTTTAACATGTCTTAAGCGTTTCATCAGAGAGTTTTCCTAGTATCGAGTTGTTTCCAGTGGCGTAGCTAGGGGAGGGCGGGTGGGGCGGCCGCCCCGGGCGCCGATCCTAAGAGGGCGCGAAAATGGGTGGGAAAGAGTTTAAAAGGTTATTTAAGCTAGGATATTGAATTATACACAATCAAAGTTAAGAAAGTAAACTGCTACATGGCTTTACACACTAACTTAACTGATTCGAAATCACATGTATGGCTCCAAAATAAAAACCTTTACGGGACTGTTAAAAGTGCCACTAGCCTTTCCAAATGAGGGGGGGGGGGGGGCATTTTTAAAACCAGCTTGAATAACTATGTAGCCTAATATAGGGAGGGAAGGGGGGGGGATGTGATAGTTCGTCCCAGGCTCCTGAATGTATTGCCATAACGATGTATGTTTGTTTGGTTGCTTACTTCAAGTTCTCTATGCAGAAATGTTTCTTCCAGTTCACTAAATGGTTTTGTGATATCTTCTTTTTCTTCGTATATATATATATATATATATATATATATATATATATATATATATATATATATATATATATATATATATATATATATATATATATATATATATATATATATATATATATATATATACGGTTTCACATATTTAGACAGCATTGTTAATTATGTCAATTACTGACAATAAAACACGCATAACTAATGCCAAGCAAGATTTTTTGCCAAAAAAAAATGGGCTATCGTAGAACGAGACCGAATGCAGATCTTTTTTTCCAAAATAATGTCCTAATTGTTCTTTTGTATATCAATTAATGCAGGAAAGCAACCATCTCTTCCATCTACATATTGTATGCTTTGTATAGTAAGTAGGCCTACCCGGCCGTCTACCAATGCATGATAAATGGCAACCACTGGCCCTATACTATCTTTAATAATAGGTTTCTAGGAACTAGGAGACTTAGAAATTGAATCTTTCTGAATGAACTGAAGAAAGATGGCGCTGGATGTGCCATGTATTAAGGATGAGACCTGACAAAGTTACAGCAATGGCGCTCGATTGTCCACATCAAAGAGGACTATGAAGCTTGAGCAGAAACATCTGACAGGAGCAGAGAAAGTTGCAAAAGACTGGCTTTCTCTGGCGGCCCCATTTACCCTGGGCATCGACGGTAAAAGACGATGATGATGAATTTAGACAAGTTACTATACTTTTACCATTCTGATAAAAATCATGCAAAAATATATTTAAAAACATTTTTTCGGTACACCAAAAACCCAAGTTGGCCGTATTTGAAATAATATATCGATTCCTCATGTGTTGCATTTCGATGTTTTAATTGCAAAAAAAAAAAAAAATCAAACTTTTAAAAGTCTGACTACCATTGGAAACTTCTGGAATTCATCTCCTAAATTTTATTTCTGTCTCAGTTTAGCACAAAGTACGAACAATAACATTTTTTTGTTTTATTATTTGTATATTTTTACAAGCTATTATTGAACTTGCTTACCCTGTCTGTCTGTATGGGTGGAAACGGGAAAGCGTCTGGAGACGGTTGCTCGCTAAGTCACCCACTTACTTAACATTTGGATCCGCCTATGTATGTCAAGCCTACATAAAAAGATATTAATGGTAGTACGACACGTACCATGTATCGACCGGCTAGACCTTTGTAATACTTGCTCAAATTCGAAATGTTCTAGCTGTGGAATTTTAATTAACTACTCAGTAGTTTAATTAAATGTGTGGAATGTAGAATGCTCTATTCAATGTTATATCCTATATTACTTGTTACACAGAAGATTTATTAACTGTCATTTGCAAATGACGAAGTGGGCGGCCGTTTTAGGTAGGTTATAATGTGACGTAGTGAACGGCCATTATGCCAGGTTCACTAGTGACGTAGTAGATGACCGTCATTGTTAGTTTCAACAGTGACGTAGTAGATGGCCGATATTTCTAGTTTAAAAAGTGCCAAAATGGACGGTCTTCACAACTAGGTTCACTGTGTAGGATTAGTGGACGGCTATTACAGCTATTCTATCACGTGACCAAGTGGACGGCCGTTATAGCTATTTTAACAAGTGCCGTAATATATGACTGCTATACCTAGGTTATTAAGTAAATAAAGTCCAAACTATCCAAGAATTTAGAGAAGTATTAAACAAGTGATTTTGAGTTTTGTAATAATTAGTGTTGCTTGTAAATCATTCAAAAAAGAATTTGTTTTGACAGATGCGCAATAACAGTAAAACGTCCATTGTCCTAATAAATCATTATTTAATAAATTCCAGTGCAGTATTTTATCACATTTCAATATTTTTGTGCATTATCTCTGGTTGGCTTATAGCTACATTGCTAATGAGCAAGTGAGCATTAAATATAAACCAGTTTATTGTTAGAAAGAATGTTATGTTAAGGTGTTCCCTTTGAATCCAGTTTGTGATACTATGAAAAAACCTGTATTCCTGTGTAATTAAAGCAATAGGATTTATAGTCCTATATAGATTGAGCTTTACTTACAACAAAATGAGTTTCCTGTCTAAACCCTGTTTGATTAAACTACAGACGCAAATATTTTCCGGGGGAATAAAATATTCATACCTGATTCAACTGATTCACGAGCAAATACAAATACACACACACACACACACACACACTGCAATCACGCACCTACGCACTCAGACAGACTTCCAATCAAACAAAAGTACAAACGACCCCATTCCCCCTTGAGCTTTGCTAAGTTGTAGATCGATGCCAATGGATAAAAAAAAAAACGGTGCGCTATTTGGGAAAACCTCTAAAAGTCGTTTAAAACGAGAGACCAGCTTTTACTATATTTTCTTTGTATTTATATGAACAAGTGAGCGAAAATTTAAAAAAAAAGATTTTAGGGTAGTTACCCACATCAAGCTAATATGTTGCATGCTTCTCGAAAAATGTCTGCCCCGATGCCTTATTTTCTTATACAAACATAACGATTGTTTGTGAAAAAAGTAAACAGTCGAAGTCATTTGGTCTATGTAGAAGGGAGGTAACTTTCTAAAGTAATAATTTCACGATCAATTTTATACTATTTTAAAAAAACAAAAAAACAACAACACATTTGGCATTTGTTTGAGTAACAATTTCACAATACATTGAAGTATGTATCCAAACAAAATTGTTGAACTCAACTTAAAATATTAATGTAATATAATTTTATAGTCTCTGTAGTTCTAATTATATTGCGAGTAATACGTTTGGGAATATTTTACCATTATATTTTAGAAAATGGAATTACTATTCAAACTTAAGCACTCCACAGACTTAAGCTAATCACAAATTAATTAATCAGCCAAATTCTGATACGTTTTTTGAAAACAGAGTTTCAATGGATGCGGCATCATACACTAGGATGACGATTAAAATTTTAAACTTCATTACTGTTCAAGATGACTTAAAAAATTAAAAACTACATTTATTTACCTTTAATTTGATACCAATTTTTTTGTTGATGTTTTTAAATGGCTACGAACATATGACTGATTTTCAGTGATACGGTGAGTTAGTTTTTTAAGGAGTGTTGTTGTGACGCGATTGACAGTTCACTGCCCTTCAGCAGAAATGTGTCGTCTGCTAGATTTCTCACCATTCAAATAGGCCTACACGGCGTGCAAAATGGGCGGCCTTCTTAGTTAGCTGTTGTCTCGATCAAGTAATTACTTTCTCGTATATACGAAGTATACAAAAAGTAATGTAATTGTGCAAAAAATAAATAAATCGAGATTTTTGCAACATTACAACTTTTACAGCTTCCTGAGTCGGAAAAAAAGTTTTGCAATCTTGTCCGAATGTCTGTGTGTGTATCTGTGTGTGTCTGTGTTTGTGTAAACACGATAATTTGACTACCATTACAGCTATGTTGCTGAAATTTTATATATAAGTATTATATCAAAATCCTAGATACGTATCAACTTTTGAGCGATTTCCAATATCCAGAAATGGAACTTTTTCTACTTTGAATTTTTCAAAAGCCTATAACTTGAGTACTATTTCAAATAGATAAATAAAAGTTCACATGTAAGTAAAAGATCTAATTCTCTGCCTTCTGTCAAATTTTGAGTAATTTCCGTTTACCGCTATTTCCGATTTCTCAAAAAACGCATGAGAATTTATAAAGTACTAATAATATTCCGCTGTATAATGCACATTTTATTTGGCGTTCACTTGGTGTGCAATTCTTTTTTCAACGCGATTCTATTCTATTTTAAAAATTTAAAGTATTTAAAATGGATTAAAAATCACATAAATATCCCGAACTGCCATCCCCTGTTGTTTCATATAAGAATATTTCAGAAAATTTAGGTGAATTGTTAAAATTAGATCGATATAGTTGAATAATACGCAAAAATACGATTATTAGTAGGCCTATATTTTTCTGAAATGACCATCAAACATTGTTAAAAAAAACAGAACCAGGATATCGTTTTCGGCAGCCATCATTACCATGACGATGGTTAAAAAAAAAGTAGGTCAAGCGACAACCTATCTTAAAGATGTGTGTGTGTGTGTGTGTGTGTGTGTGTGTGTGTAATGAGTTGAAATGAATAAATTTCGTAGCCTGGGTTGACAGTATTAATTTAGGTTATAGTTTTAAAATGTTCCATGAACTTGCATCTTGCCTGGAATTTTACATCTTGATTGATATTCCAATTATACCCATTACATGATTAATTAAGTCGTAATGAGTAACATATATTTCCTTTTTAGAAATACAAGAAGACCCTTTGCGAAAAGTAAAGGCTGACTGCACCAATTCAAGGCTGATGTACTATATTTCTCGATCTAAGTGCGAACTGGTTTTTGTTTTAAAACAGATAAAACAAAAAACTTCAAGGATAGAGTTCTGTAAACAAAGTTTATTCTTCTGGCCGGGCAGTACTGGACCTCTAACATGCAAGTCCAGAGATCGGCTCTCTGACGTAAGCCATTAATTCCACCCAGCTCCGAAGGGTACTCAGAATTTAGGTAAAGTAAAATGATCTCGGCATAATACAGGCCTACCATTCCTTGAAAAACAATGGGCACAGATACAGATACTATACACCCGCTTCCCCGTTGACTGTCGTGTCAGAAATGGACGTATGAAGGATTTTTAATTTCATTGAATTTGCATTTTTTTTTCAGTTTTAAATAAAATCTGCAAGTGCCAAAAACACAGCTAGTCCAATACCAACATTGTTTAGGGTTGAAAAAAAAAACTTAATATCAACGACATTTTGTTTTGCTTCGGGTAAGTTTAACCATATTACCTAACCATCGTCTTGAAAAAAAATGGTTAAATGGACCTGATCAACGCAATAAGAGGATCGTAAATTCGTTTTTTTTTCTTTATTTAACAAAATAAAACATTGCTTTCCTTTCTTTCCACAAACATGCACTGCACAATGAGTGACATGGTCAACCAAGTACAGGTATCTAGCTAATGTTGTAAACTACAGTTGAAGCCGCTTGGTAGTGTGTCAGTCAGCCATCAGTACAGACATTTAAACTTCATCAGCATTATGCAATTAGGAACAGCGTTTTGCAATGCTTGTTTCTTTGTCTCCTTTTTGTTTAATTAATAAAATTACGCCGTGATTATACCGAGAAATTAAATACCGTTTCTTCTACAAACAGATGACTATTTTTCTCAGGTCTCATTTAAGTATTTTACGACTCCTAAAAGTTATTTGTGGTGTTGTTTGTGCCTAAAAAGATTATAGTTATAAAAAATGTGGTTATTGTATTCAATGTATCAACTGCATTAAAATGTTAATGCAAACATGTTTTGCAAAATTACCGAAATTGTCATTGAAAAATAAAGCCACGTCATTATTGGGTTACTAAGTTTATATCTAAATTGTTGAATGTTGAGCAAATTTCAATCTATGCCATTTGTTTTCTATTTCTATTAAAAATTGTTACTTTGGCCCGATCATCTCGAAAAACTGTCGTGGCTAGGTTGTTTTTGTATTTCTAAAAATTTCTTCAAAGTTTACACATTGTTTTCGTTGACTTACTCACTACTGCTCACATTTGCCTACACAAGGTCCACTCGTTAGTTAAATATAGCAACCACACCAAAAATGTTTGTAGACAAAACAGATTCAAGCAAACAGTGAGTCATTTCACAATGTTTTTATTCTAAGAGAACCTTTTGAAAAAATATTGCACATCTCTCATGTTATACAATCAAATCGACAAATATTTTCCTGCTGTTCTGTTGTTACAAGTTGCATCTGTTTAAAAAATATATACACGTTCTCGCAAATACATGTACACGATGTTTAGAGTTAGATTGCCTTCATGCGTACATTTTCACTTCTGTAAAACTTTTCTTTAGATAAAATATAAGTCAATTTGATTGACAAAACTCGTGAAAAAATATAAGTATGTACACTTCTCTTTTTAATTTAAAATATAGAATTTTTATCATTATCTGGTTGTTGTACGAAAATAAAATTTGTAGTTTGAGCATGCGTCGTGTGTCGTGTTTCGTTCGGACTGATTGGTTTGTAATAAGTTGTTCTAAGCCTAATTTAGGCTGTTAGGGTTGTACAAATCTGGCAGGTTACGGCTTGCAAACCTTGCAGGCAAGACGACATTTTTCTTTCATGTAGGCAGGGTTGGAGACACACTGGTTCCTGTTGGCCCACTCCTGGCATCTTGGGTTCTCGTCCTTGCACTCTCTCTCCTCGCTCTCGTCGGGCATGTCACCCAGACAGAGACCGTTCTCTTCGGTCTGACCTTTCCTGCAGGGAGACTTGCAGGACTTCTGGTAAGGTCTTTGCCTGTTCCAGTTGCCCATGGGGGTGTAGAAGCAAACCAACCACCAGGCGTTTTGGTAGGCGTTTCTCAGGTTGGGACATCTGGTTGACCAGCAGCCGACCTTCTGGGTCTTGTCCCACACCAGCTGAAAATGTCAAGTGGCATTTTTTCAGTCACGATACCAATTATTAATCAATATGTTTTTGTTTTAATTAAAAGATAACTAGCTTTAAAAGCATAGAGAAATTTAGCAATACAGAGATCTAAAAAATATTGCCTTACATTCTAAAAGTCACTCGAAGCCAGAAAATTAAAAACCAATACTTAGCCGCCAAGGAAATAATTCGGGTAATTATTTAGAAAATCCCTAGCCCCATGTTGACAACGCCCTGTCTTAGCCCCATGTTGACAACGCCCTGTCTTAACCCCATGTTGACAACGCCCTGTCTTAACCCCATGTTGACAAAGCCCTGTCTTAGCCCCATGTTGACAACGTCCTGTCTGAGCCCCATGTTGACAACGCCCTGTCTTAACCCCATGTTGACAACGCCCTGTTTTAACCCCATGTTGACAAAGCCCTGTCTTAGCCCCATGTTGACAACGTCCTGTCTGAGCCCCATGTTGACAACGCCCTGTCTTAGCCCCATGCTGACAACGCCCTGTCTTAGCCCCATGTTGACAACGCCCTGTCTTAGCCCCATGTTGACAACGCCCTGTCTTAGCCCCATGCTGACAACGCCCTGTCTTAGCCCCATGCTGACAACGCCCTGTCTTAACCCCATGTTGACAACGCCCTGTCTTAGCCCCATGTTGACAACGCCCTGTCTTAACCCCATGTTGACAACGCCCTGTCTTAACCCCATGTTGACAACGCCCTGTCTTAACCCCATGTTGACAAAGCCCTGTCTTAGCCCCATGTTGAAAACGCCCTGTCTTAGCCCCATGTTGACAACGCCCTGTCTTAGACCCATGCTGACAACGCCCTGTCTTAACCCCATGTTGACAACGCCCTGTCTTAGATCCACCTTGACCAGCCCTACTTAGACCAGAACCTCCCTACCTTGACAGCCCCCTCCCCACTTTGACCCCCACTACCTACATTAACCAATCCCTCCCCACTTTGACCCCACCTTCCCACCTTGCCCCCCCCTTCCTACCTGTGTGTAATGACAGGACATAGAACACGAGTCCTGGCCGTAACTGTACAAATTCTTCTCGTCAAACCAGGCAGTGAACCCGCCCAGGATCAATTCCTTCTCAGGCTGCTCCATTGAGTTCCAGGCCAAGTTCTCTCCCCTCCCAGGCAGAGACTCGTGCTTGTAGACGCAGCCCTCGGCCCATCGTCTCGCCTGATTTTCCAGGTCCATGTCTGAAAAAAACGGGTCATTACATTTAAATATGCAGCACAAGAATTTTACTGGAGCTCTCTCAGTAACTTTTTGGACTAATTTTTTCAGATCTTTAACTGGTAATCTCCCAGAAAGTTTGGTATCATTTTTTTTTGTCAGAGGAGACGCTAATTATATTTTTCGTCAATAATCCATTTTTTTTTAAATAGAGAGATTCGGATTATTAACTGTTCTAAAACAACAAGTGCTGAATCCATTAATGTAGCTTAATCTCCCCTTATTTGTAGCCTCCCTTTGTTGTTTATGACGTACCGTAGATGAGCTTGTTGATCTGGCAACCTCCCTCCTTCCTCCTCTTGTCGTTGTGAAGTTCAAGGACGTAGTCACGCATCTCTTGGTTCCAGTTGGAGACCAGCGCCAGAGAGGCGACAAAAATGGCGGAAAAACACGTCACAAGCAGAAGACAATTCATGGTTATGGTTTAGTTCCCTGAAAATCGTTAAAAAAAAACTGAAATTAAATGTTTTCTTTGTAAATAATTTTAATGGCTGAAATCATGACATTTTCGATTTTAGTGCTAAAATTATAATGTCGATTCTGAGGTGTCAGGAAAATATTTGCAGGAGTTTTCAATTAAATCAGTTTATATATTTTTATCACAAGTATTGCTCTTTTTTTAAAAAAAAACAAGTCTAACGCTTCAATACTATTACGGTTGGCCTAGAAAACACTTCCTAATTGCTAACTAATTATGCAGATTGCAGTACTACGCCATTTGTTTCACTTGACTATTTCTATAAATAAATCTCGCCGAAAAACAAATTACGTGCTGACAGTGGCGTAGCGAGGTCGGGTGTCACCCGGTGCGGCACTTAATGGTGTCACCCCCCAGAGGCATAGAGACCCTTCCCAGGGACAAACTTTCAAATTTTCGATTTGCACCCCCCCCCCTCAAACTTTCGATTTGCACCCCCCCCCTCAAGTTTTCGATTTGCACCCCCCCCCTCAAACTTTCGATTTGCACCCCCCCTCGAGTTTTTCTCTATATATTTTGCTATTTTTTGCCTTGGTGTCACCCCCCTAAATGGTGTCACCCGGTGCGGTCCGCACCCCCCGCCCCCCCCTCGCTACGCCCCTGCGTGCTGAAAATGGTTTTGTGAAGCCTCGAATCTTGTGAATGGTTTCAGCTAATGAAATCTACCTCTCTGATTAAACTATATGAAAAGTAAACATACTTGGAATAATTTGTTGTCTATTTTGATGGTTGAGTATTAGCAAGAAAGGGTTTATGGACTGTAATGTCCACGAAATAGCAACATAATTTTTGCCTAAAGAGAGTTTAAAAATGAGCAGAACATCGTCCAGCCATGCAAGACTTTTTAAACGGAACTAAACACATCTTTTTAAAACATTGTCTATAGAGGCTGGTCATGATGTTAACCTTTCGACACAATGACAGCTCAGCATTAAAAACTCGGGTCTGTGCAGTTCTAAGGTAGACATACACGAGACTGATATACATAATGACTTACCTGGGAGTTGAAGGTACCAGATCAAAGTCTACTGGAGCTACGATTTCCTGATCAGAACCCACTGGCTTATATAATCCCGCAGATCTACGGCAATTATGGAGTTAGAAAACTTACCGAAATGTCAGTCGATAAAAGCTTCAATTATATATTCAAATGAAGTTGCGTGAAATTATGTACCATCTGGAAATTAGGGTGTATTCTAATTTATGTTGGAAGCTGGGGTGGTGAGAAAATTACTGAGGGGGAGGGGTGGGTGGGGAGGACGGAGCTGAAACTGTTGGCTGAAGATCAAGGGTCGCCCACTTCCACAGTCAACATAATGTTACGTCAGAGCATGCCATGTGATTTCAATCTTTGTGGGTTGAGTTCAGAGGAAAACTTTCAATATGTCTGCCCTAGAACTTCTTCAGTGGTTCGTCAGAATGCAATGTAGAAAACATGATTTAAATAATAATCATACATGATAATTATTATTATATACATATTGTTTATTTTTTACAATTATTTTGGTTCAGTAAGACAAAGTGCCTTTGCAGACTTGGCTGCCCATAAAGCAGATAAAGTAGAGTTCTACCTTTATTTATGTCGTTATATTTTGGGGATGTGTGATCAGCCAATTCGTTGATTATTTACGGACTTTAGCCAGGTACTCATTCGAGCTGGGTGAACTCAGTGATCGTGTTAAGCTCCAATACACAATTCAGTACAGCACCTTTTCAAAACTAAGAAGACACAGTAACAGATCATAGTGACATATGGTAGGTTTGTGACTTACGGTAGGTTTATGACTTAAATTTATAGGGTATTTGTGACTTTAATTTACTGTACGTTTGTGACTTACGGTAGGTTTATGACTTAATGTAGGTTTCTGACTGACTGTAGGTTTGTGACTTAAGTTTACAGTGTTTGTGACTTATGTTTACTACTAGTCCACTGTCAACATACAGAGTATATTTTAAAAATTATGTTTGTGCTTTTGATATTTTCCAATAATTGAAAGCCTCCTCTTCCAACCCACCCCAGTCTACATGTCTGACAGCTTAAGAAAAATATAAATCTGGAGTCATGACTAGCCCCCAACCCATTTCCCTCGAGCTTCACGGAGATTTTTCAGTCAACTTAAGGACAACTAAGTCATGTTTTTTCTATACAATAAATGACGAAAAGTTCTACGTATGAGGCGGTTGCTGGGTACAATTTGCATCCCATTGCAGGAAATTACCGAATTGCGCAGAAATGGCAAAACCACTGCCCTTTGATCCCGCTTGTTTATTAGCATGACCTTCATTTCATGGTCTTGAAAATTAGACTTTGAGATTAGCTCAGTGATTATGACATGAATTAATAACAGGCGGTAATTGGATTAGTAATTTACAGTCTATGAAGGTCAATGTCAAAACCATACTTGATTATGTATGGATGTAGGGTGGGGGTGTCGGAACGGGGTTAATTTGTGGTGAGGGAAAAATGGGAAATGATGTGGGGGATGGGTGTAGTGGATGGAAGATGGGGAGATCTGGGATGTGTGGGAGATGTAGGGAATACTGTGGGATATTAAAAGGGATTCATCTTCACAAATACAACATTTTTGCTCTTACACGTTGACTCTAACTGGTCTATACAAATTTGACCATCGTATGTCCATACAGATTTGTCCACAACATTTCTATACACACTTGGCCACAACATTCTATACACATTTGGCGACAACATTTTATACACATTTGGCCAACAAATTTCTATACTCATTTGGCCACCACATTTCTATACACATTTGGCCACCCCATGTCTATACACATTTGATCAACAAAGCATTGAACCAATACAAATGTTTATTCATAATCTCAATGTTTTATTTTCTCGAAATTTTTAAAAGTTTAAGATCTATGACGAAATGTTGCCACCGGACTCTAACAAGTTTTAAAATAGTAACATCTATTACATCAAATAGACAAAACAGCCTATTTGTTTATTGTTGATCTTGTTTTGTTTTTTTAAATACTAATTTTACATAATTTTTCTTTAAGAAAAAAAAACAACCTTTAGATTTAAAAGAGTTTTTTTTTTAAATGTAGGCTACTTCTGACAGTAGTTACAAGTTTTAGGACAATATTCGCCCATGATGTCTTTACGCGACTCACATTTGTCTTTAAATTTCTCGCAACCGTACAGGTCAACGCATGGCTCCCCCACCTCGCACAGTTCGCATGTTTTTTTACAATTACTTTTCACGTTGACGTCTGTGCCACAACGACCGGATTTTTGATACATCAAACAAATATTGTCAACGCATCCAGGATGCTCGCCCTTGTCTTGTTTGTTGTCGCCCTTGTCGTGTTGGTTGTCGCCCTTGTCTTGTTGGTTGTCGCCCTTGTCTAGCAGGTTGTTGTCCCTGTTCCCTTTGCCCTGTTTACTCTCAGCAGTGATGCCATCGAGGCAGAGACCGTTCTCTTCTGTCTGACCTTCTCTGCAGGGAGACGTACAGGACTTCTGGTAAGGCTGTACCCCGATCATGTTGCCCATGGGGGTGTAGAAGCAGACCAACCACCAGGCGTTTTCGTAGGCGTTTCTCAGGTTGAGACATCTGGTTGACCAGCAGCCGACCTTCTGGGTCTCGTCCCACACCAGCTGAAAATGTCAAGTCTCGTTGGTTCACGGTAGTGTTAGGTCGGCTTAGTCGCACTTACAAAGTTTTATATAATGATATCCTTCTAAATAATTACAAACATCTACTCACAAACGTTAAGATCGGCCAACACTAAAGACAATCCCCTACCATAACTTGACCCATTCCTTGCCAGACTTAAGTCACGCTATCACCAAACCTTGACTCACCTTACATACCGACCCAACTTTGACAACCCACCTTGACCAACCCCACCCTTACCAGCGCCTCCCCACCTTGACCCTCCTCTCCCTACCTGTGTGTAGTGACAGGACATAGAACACGAGTCCTGGCCGTAACTGTACAAATTCTTCTCGTCAAACCAGGCAGTGAACCCGCCCAGGATCAATTCCTTCTCAGGCTGCTCCATAGAGTTCCAGGCCAAGTTCTCTCCCCTCCCAGGCAGAGACTCGTGCTTGTAGACGCAGCCCTCGGCCCACCGTCTCGTCTGGTTCTCCAGGTCCATGTCTAGAGAGGTAGTGACCGGGTATCAGGGGGACTTAACACGCAGTTTACAAGATAGATGGTGACGAATTTATAATAGTAAAAACTATAGTATATTTAATGGTAATCATAAATAGTTGTTGTACTATTAATATGATGAGAAAAGAAATGTTGCCCTCGCGTTACATGGCACCATTTTGTTCGCTTTACATGGCACCATTTTGTTTGCTTTACTTGGCAATATTTTGTTCGCTTTACTTGGCAATATTTTGTTCACCATATATGACACCATGAAAGTTTAAATATTGACAGAGCATTTGAAGTGGATAATAATTGAGTTGCAAGATTTGCAACACACCTACAGATGAACAAACAAACATACATACATTGTTAAATTAATAAAAAATTAAAAGATATAAACGCGTCACTCTCCCGAATATAGTTCTAGGGGGAGCTACTCCTACCCACCCATCGTTTCAATACAAATGACCCAAATGTAAATAAACGTAATTTTCATCCATACATAACATCTGTAAGTAAGCCACTTCACACACAGGTTCCTTGATTGTCACAGCAGTGACCCCCCTCCCCCTCCCCCTAGTCTTGTGTTGTCACCACCTGTTGTTGCCCCAGCAACATGTACACTAGTCGTAAGAAGATGACACCTTAGTCGCTGATGTAACCAAACAGTGTAGCTGAGCTTTTCGACACCAGAGTAGCCTCCCTTTGTTGTGTATGACGTACCGTAGATGAGCTTGTTGATCTGGCAACCTCCCTCCTTCCTCCTCTTGTCGTTGTGAAGTTCAAGGACGTAGTCACGCATCTCTTGGTTCCAGTTGGAGACCAGCGCCAGAGAGGCGACACAAATGGCGAAAAAACACGTCACAAGCAGAAGACAATTCATGGTTCTGGTTTGGTTAAAACAGTCTGGAGATTTACAAATTGGTTTTTTTAAGAATTTAACGTTGTTTTGGGCCGAATATATTTGATTTTTCGACTAAATATTTAACACATGTGCGGACATTAATTTTCAAACCGTCACTGTAGATAAAAAAAACGCGGGAGTGATCTCCCCTAAACTTTCTTGAATATTCGTATGTAACACATTAACTTGAGTACCGATACAGCTAGGTAGATAAAATTTCATATACACGAATTATATCAAATTTGTAGTTCTGTATGACGTCATTGATACTAGAGTAAACATTGAATTAAAAAGCCAATGCCGAAAAAAATACACAATAATGACGTCATAGATAATTGATAATTAAAACACTGGTAATAACGCCTAATTCATTTATTCAATCTTAAAAGAGGAGTGCGTGCAGAGTTTCTTTCAGGCATCTCTAATGGTAGGGGCAAAGGCCCCCCTCCCTCGGTAGAAAGTCTAAGCCCCCCCCCCCCCCCCAAAAGCGGCCAAATGTAGAAAACTGGTCTAGATTATAGAAGTAGGGTCTACTTTTAGTCTATATGATCTAAAAATGCGACGAAGTGTTTCTTTCAGACTTTTTTCATCCCGTAAGGGGGGTTGGGAAGATGGACTGAATTTTCCGGGTAAGGGGGCGTACACACACTGGTAAAAATATATTTTCTATATACATTATATGTCCTTATAGGGGGTGGCAGACTTTCTTAGATTTTTTCTTAGGGGGGCTCTGCCCCCCCCCCCACCCCCGCTCTCCCAAAGAGCTGCCTAAAAAAAACTCTAAATGGGGACTACTCAAGCTTGAGATTAGGTTCAAGGTTTAGGGGTTAGGGTTAGGTTCAAGGTTTAGGGGTATGACTATGACTATATTTAGTATGAATGTGCAATAACTAAGTGCCGATTCTGGATAAAATAATATTTTTCGTTTCCAGTTAAATTTGAAGTTGAGGTGATGATTTTTGTTTTGGTGTAGAGAAAAACAACAACACCATCAACCAAGCGCCCGTTGCATTTCTCCCACAACGGGCCATTTATCTCGTATAAGAATATTCGACAAAGTTCAGGGGAGATCACTCCCGTTTTTCTTTTTTTATTATAATGAATTTGAATTCGCTATTGGTTTTCTATAAAGCATTCTACCGTTGCTGATATATATCCCAACATCTTGGTCGGTACCATTATCATAAGATAATTCATTTATGCAAAAACTAATAATTTTTTGGAAGGTGCGCTTTTTTTATTTATACGACAATAAAAGATAAAAGTCGGATACGGTTTGAAACCATTCATCGGAATACTCTCAAGAAGGGAGGGTGCGACTTTTGTCAATACACGGCTATCTTAGACCTTGTTATCAGTAATAGTATTACTATATTCAGCAGTAAAACTGCAACAGGCGCAGCCGCCAGCGCAGGAGATTTAGTGACTTAACGAGCCTCGGGCTCCACAGTGAGCATTATGGCAACTAAGTTAGTTTTAAAATAAGGCTATACACCAAAGACACGATGGACAACAATAATCGTTAACTATATCGAATCAGGCGCGTCTTCGGGCGCTCCGGCAGGGAGGCGAATAGCGCTCCGGGCTCACCAGTGAGCTCAATAGCGCCTATGTTTGTTTTAAAGAGTGCGATAGGCTATGGGTACAGTCAGTGCTTTCTTTTATTAAAAAATGTGTCTTTACTCGGAGATAGATTGCCCAGCTTTTAACTACCATTTCGCACCTCGATGCAATCATACTGCGCGAAATTTTTAAAAAATCAATTTTAGCAAATTAATTATATAATAAATTATTATTAATAATAATAATAATAATAATAATAATAATAATAATAATAATAATAATAATAATAGTAATAATAATAATAATCATAATAATAATAATAATAATAATAATAATAATAATAATCATAATAATAATAATAATAATAATCATAATAATAATAATAATAATAATAAACGTTAAAATACAAGTATAACTTACAAATGTCCTTAATGTAACATAAAACTTACAAATGCGCTACATGAAACATATAACTTACAAATGTCCTTAATGTAACATAAAACAAATGTCCGTAAGGAATAGATAAAACCTACAGCTTCAGTATGCCAATAATACCACATATAGACCATACAGTTTTAGAAAAATACAATAGTCTGCCTACCATACATAAAATATTCACCTGAGAAATGCCCTATGATACGACACACGAGACGAACCATTAAGCTACCAACTCACCAGTCAACAATGTAGCTACAATCTGAGCCAGCTGAAAAGTGCCGTAACATCACGACAACCGTGGTTATCTCCCTCCCACATGACAGATGTCTAACCAGGCGGAACGGCTAGATTGGGCGACTGACAACTGAGCGAATATTTGTTGCGCCGGGGATGGGCGATTATACATTAGGAAACTAAAGTTGTTTTCTTAGATTCGGTAATGTGATCGGTGCTTTCGTTATCAGTCACCAAAACACTAAAGCAGCAGGGTACAGAGGCTGAAGCAAAAAAATAATAAATAAACAACCAATCACCTGTAACTATAAAACACTTGCCAACCGGGTCTCAAAGACAGACAGAAATAAATAACTAAAATTAATTAAATTATTATAAATTAATAAATTATCAAACAAATAAGAAAGGAACATATAAATAAATTAATTATTCAATAAAATAAAAAAAATAAATGAAATAAATAAAATAAATAAAATAAATAAAAAAAATAAAATCAATAAAATAAATAAATAAAATAAAATAAATAAAGTAAATAAAATAAATAAAATAAATAGAATAAATAGAATAAATAGAATAAATAGAATAAATAGAATAAATAGAATAAAAAGAATAAAAAGAATAAATAGAATAAATAGAATAAATAGAATAAATAGAATAAATAGAATAAATAGAATAAATAGAATAAATAGAATAAATAGAATAAATAGAATAAAATAAAATAAAATAAAATAAAATAAAATAAAATAAAATAAAATAAAATAAAATAAAATAAAATAAAATAAAATAAAATAAAATAAATTAAATAAATTAAATAAATAAAATTAAATAAATAAAATTAAATAAATAAAATTAAATAAATAAAATTAAATTAATTTAATTAATTAAATAAATAATATAAATTAAATAAATTAAATAAATTAAATAAATTAAATAAATTAAATAAATTAAATAAATGAATATTTGAAAAATGAATTTAAAAACATGAATGAATAAACGAAAAAATGAATAAACGAATTAATGAGTAAATGAATAAACAAATCAATAAACCAATAAAAGAGCAAATAAATAAATCAGTAAATAGGTAAATAACTATATAAATAAATACATATATAAAGGAAATAAAAAAGACTAGTATATATATATATATATATATATATATATATATATATATATATATATATATATATATATATATATATATATATATATATATATATGTTTATAATATGTTGATAACCATAAATAAATACGTATAAAAGCGTTTAATTTATTTTCCATCTGCCTACCATCATACAGATTGTGTATGACATATAAAATATTTATTGAATAGGCACATCACAGAATTATACAATAAAAATAAAGATCCTTTGAATGTTCTATGGATAAAATAATCCCGAAGCATCAAACGACAGAGATGAAATGATTGATATTTTGTCTGATTGGCACACAACAAAACTCTACAACTAATTGTGTACTTGTGATGTTCCGTTCTACATCAAACATTATTTACTTCATGCATTAATTAAACGACTGAGTCAGAACATCCACGGTGTGTGATGTATTGATCCACAAATTATCTGTTGGGAACATCCACATTGTGTGTTGTAATGATCCACCAATGGACGTTAGGGAACATCCACATTGTGTTGTGTAATGATCCACCAATGGACGTTAGGGAACATCCACATTGTGTGGTGTAATGATCCACCAATGGACGTTAGGGAACATCCACATTGTGCGGTGTAATGATTGACCAATGGACGTTAGGGAACATCCACATTGTGTCGTGTAATGATTGACCAATGGACGTTAGGGAACACCCACATAGTAGGTAGATATATCACTTGTGCCCAAAATGATTCGAGCATCAACATCACTGTGTTCCAGGAACAACACTATTAAAATGTGGTTTTCACACAAACAGAAGAATAAAACAAGGTAATTAAAAAGTCTAGTGACAATTTTAGCGCAATTTCCTTACGTTATCTAAAAATAGCGGTAGAATTTCTTCTGGAGAGGGGGGGGGGCAGAGCCTGGATGCCTGGAAGAGACTCTGCTCTAGTTAACAACCCACGCTAGTTCTACCACTAGTTAGTTAACAACCCACGCTAGTTCTACCACTAGTTAGTTAACAACCCACGCTAGTTCTACCACTAGTTAGTTAACAACCCCTTTACAACATTTGTAAGAAATAACAAGAACGATCTGCCAGTTTCAATTGCAGTTTTTTAAAATTTATTTGTATTATTCATACAATTAATAACTGGTATTTATGTTTAATCTCAGATGAATTAATCTGAAGCATCAACATCAAACACGGCGAGCACCTGGATTTAACACACAAAGCAGGCACCTCGGCAGACTTTAGAGAGCTCGTCAAATGACTCCCCAGTACAATGTCCCTCTCTTGCCCGCTCCTCGCAAAATCCTTTGTCGTCCTTGCATGTGTCGTGAGCTTTGCCAATGGGCCAGTAGTAGCAGACCAACAACTATCGGCTGTATTGGCCGTTTTTAAGTTTGTTACATCTGGTTGACCAGCATCCCATCTGTCGCGTTACGTCCCATATACGCTAAAATAAAGGACCAATTATATCTTTAATAATCCGTGTATTGAGTACTGCATATATTGATCTATGCATGGATTGATTACTGTATGTATTGAACTCTACATGTATTGATCACTACATGTATTGATCACTGCATGTATTGATTTATGCATATATTGATCTATGCATGTATTAATATATGCATGTATATATAAATGCATTTATTGATCTATACATGTATTGATATATGTATGTATTGATATATGCACAGAAACACGACAACCCTACAGGTTGTACAACCCTACAAAAAGACAAACATAGAAACAGACAAACCTACATACAGACAACCCTAGACAGTACAACCCTAGAAACATCACAGCCCTTCACAGAAAACCCTAGAGACACCCCAAGCCCACATACAGCCGTGTATCGACAGTAATTCAAACAGTTGACCCCGTGTTGTGTAGAGCCACTGAACCAAGCACTGACGATGTTCTGTAGCCAGCTATGGCCGGGGTTCTCTGAGCTTGTTCTAGCCAAGTTGATGCCTCTCTTGGGTGCATAGTTATAGTAGTACTCGCAGCCCTCGGCCCATTTCTTCGCTTAAGTCTCGAGATTTGTGTCTAAAACAAGAAGGGTGGGGAGGTGGGGAGGTGGGGAGGTGAGAATGAATCATAAAGATTGGATGTGTTAGTAGACGGTTACAAAACAACCATCAGTTACCATGACAACGAGCCCTACCGTAAGTGAGGTTTATGAAACGGGAACCTGCGACTTCCTTTAGCTTGTTATTGTGAAGTTCAAGGACGTAGTCGCGCGCCTCTTGGTTCCAGCTCCACGCATGCGCCAGGGAAGCGAGAAAAACGGCGGGAAAACACGTCACAAGCAGTAGACAATGCATTTTTTAGAGGAAATTCACTGAAATTGTTTATTAGATAAAACGTGTTAACTTTAAAGATGTGATATTTTGGAAATGGTTTTGTATACTTGAGAATGTGACTTATGCTTCGTTGATATGAGATTGATTCGAGATTTGTTTCAATATTTGTCTCTTTCAGCAAATTTAGGCTACTCAGACAAACAAGATTCAGGCAAGTGTCTTTGGTTCGGCCCCCAGCTCCAATACAATAATGTTGCCTTATTATGGTCTACTAGCCGTCCCGGCCAGGCCCTGCACTGGCCTCTGTGAAAAACCTATCTGTAAAGGACCATGCCTTAAGTGTTTATTTAGCACCATATACCAGCATTGTCCGGGTTTATGAAATATACTACTTTTCCAATTAAATATCTATATGCAAACATGGATATCTGACGCACATGTTGTTAACCCGTAGATTAGAAAACCAGAGTAATAAAATGTTTTGACTAGAACTAACAAAATAAAACAGATATCACAGTAGGCAAATTATTTAAGAGAGACTAGATGGACTATTGTAGTTATACTGAGTGGATACAATGTAGTAAACTGTACGATAAACATGTAGCTTACACGTGTTTCAGTGGGCGAATTGTGTAAGCAGATGTATTGTAATGGGGGATAATGTACATATATGTAAGGTAATAGGGGATGTAAGTAGATTAATGTAATGGGGGATAATGTAAGTATATGTAAGGTAATGGGGATGTAAGTAGATGTAAGGTAATGGGGGGGATGTAAGCATATGTAAGGTAATGGGGGGTGTAAGTATACGTAAGGTAATGGGGAATAATGTAAATAGATGTATGGTAATGGAGGGATAATGTAAGTAAATGTAAGGTAAAGGGGTAATTATGTAGATATATGTAAGATAATGGAGGATAACGTAAGTAGATTTAAGGTAAAGGAAAATTATTTAAGTAGATGTAAGGTAAGCATATGTAAGGTAATACGACGTGGATCTTAGTTTACTCACGTGTAGTTCTCCAACAAGCAGTTCTGCATTGCCACGTTCCCAGATGTCAGATCACGTGAGATCCTGTTATAGAACATCTATCGCGACAGATGCGTGTCTAGCGGGATGGGCGTCTACCGGGCGATGACCAACTGAGCGACGGCTAGATGGGCGATGATCAACTGGGCGACACAACTAAATTTGTTTCATTAAACTGATTAATTTTCGTAGGGTAACTAGTCTACGTATTTAATTATAATTTCAGAAAGTTGATAGCTTTTTTTCGGTACAATAAATGGTCCATACGTAGTGATATTATTTTAATGGAGTCCCCCCCCCCCCCCCCCCAAGAAAGTCTACCCCCCCCCCCGCAACGAAATGGAATTCATATTGAAAATATTTACTTTTACCAGTGTCTGCCCCCCCCCCCCCCCAACAGGAAAATGTAGCCCCCCCCCCCCCCCCCCCACCACCCCGAAAATATCAAGTTCCTTCCAGATGAAAAAGTCTGGATAACACACTTCCCGACAGAAAGTATATTGCAAGGATTAGTTGCAATCAGTGCTGACAAAAATGGCGAAACCTTTCGAACAAA